TCATAGACTTAAATAAGAATAAAAATAAAAAGGTCGTATTTTAGAAGTCAATCACTCACAGAGTCTGGAGAATATTTAATGGCTAATGGAGAGCCCGGGGAAGACGTGTTGTTAAGGATCAAATATAGCAGGCTCTTCAAAACAAGTTCTTGCTGACTAATTAACAGTCAATAACAATATTGCAGGGAGGAAAGACAGCCCAGGGGAAAAGAATAAGGAAGTCAAGAAATTATTTCTTTGCAAAGGAAAAAAAAAAGAGCTTAAGCATGGTGCCCTTTTAATGTATAAAAATGAGGCTGCTCAACCTGAAAATCAGTTGTTCCTGCTTAATGCTCCTGGGGCCTGGATATACTTGAGGGTGAAAAGGAAATAGATTCATGAGTGAATTAAGTTGTCTTTGTCTCCACTAAAGAGCAGGTTAGGTGGATTTCTGTCCCAAGAAGGATTGGATGCACTGGTCTAAATTGTCAGTATTCAAAATATCCTAAACCAATATCTTTATGAGATCCTGATTTCAATTTCTTTGGGCCAATAACGAGAAGTTGGATTTCTGGATCACATGATAGTTCTATATTTAATTTATTTGGGAAATGTCCATACTATTTTACACAGCATTACTCACATAGCCAAGATATGGAAACAACATGAGTGTCCATCAGTAGATGAATGGATAAAAACAATGTGATACACACACACATACACACATTGGAATATTATTCAGCCATAAGAGGGAAGGGAATCGTTCCATTCGTGACAGCTCGGATAGACTTGGAGAGCATTATGCTAAGTGGACTTATAGAGAAAGATAAAGTATAAGTGATCTCATATGTAGAATCTAAAAAAGACAAACTCAGAGAAATAGAAAGTAGAGTGATGATTAGCACATTGGAGTAAGAAATGAGGAAATATTGGTCAAATTGTATAAACTCCCAGTTAAATGATGATTATAGCTAATCATACTGTATCATATAGTTGAACATTTCTAAGAGAGTAGAATTTAAAATATCCTCACCACAAAAAGAAATGGTATTTAGCTGACTAGTTACCTGTTAGCAAAACCTCAAGACGAAGAGGGTAGGCTACAAAGACACCTTTACAAATCTGCATAAAATGGACTTAGTGCAACACAATAGTAAAGATAAAAAGTCTAAGTTATATCATATACAATCAATGAATTTGTGTCCTGTTTACAACAGAGCAAAGGACATGGAAATACTCCTGGAGGACCTCTTTGGTTCAAAGAAATTCATACTGTTGTGACCATCTCTCTATTCTCATCTTTTCCTCTCTGGTATTTCTTTATTTTCTTTTTCCTTCATGGCTCTTTCACTAACTGTCCCCCAGAAAAAGGTGTTTCTTGAGTTTACACCTGGAAATGCAGTTTTGGCCCTGGATACTGTCTCAGATTAGACAGTGGGCAGCAAATTTTTATGCATCGACAGTGAGGAATCAAGACTCAGCGGAGTGTCTTGATTATAAAATGCAATTTTAAATAGTGTAGTTTTTTTTAAACAATTTTCATCAGGCAATTATAGAAGCAAAGACTTTAAAAAGTAATAGCTATTATTACTATGAATAAACTATAAATATGACTAAATATAGATATTTCCAGTTTATGTGGGGACTGCTGTGTCAAGTTCTTCTTAGTTATAAAAAAATAATCTAGCATAGTCTAGTATATTTGTAGATGTGAACTTTTTTCTTGAAATGATAATGCTTTGACCTGTGAAAAAGAAAAATATATATGATTTATTACAAAGATGTTTAATTTTCACTTCATTACATTATGTTCTGTGAACATTTATATCTAGTCTTTAATTAAACATGATTTATTCAAATTGAGATCTGTTTCCACTTAGATTGCTCGCAGTGTTAATCACAGTGCAAATAGCCTTCACTGCTGAAAGAATTTCTACATTATACTAATATATAACCGTTTCTGTGTAATTTGCATCTGTTCTCTGAGCCTACAAGTTACTAGATATGTACATATGTAGAAATGCTTTACTTATTTTGCTACTAGAGAACATAACTCATTATAACATTTGTGTTTTTATGACTTTGGATTTAAAGTAGTTTTTGAAGGTAAAGAACTGAAAAATGCCCAAATAATAAACGTTGTTTTTATCACAAATTGAGCATGGCTAGAAAGCATTTCCACTTCAGCAGGACAGTTTCAGTTTGTCTTACCTCATGTGAATGCCTGGATAAAGTTGTAACTGTTTGTTGTTGTTGTTGTTGTTGTTGTTGTTTTCTCCTTCTTCCTTTTTTTTTTTTAGAATCATGTGTTCTTAATTATAACTTCCTTTGTTGACCTTACAGATCTGTCCTGAAGAAAAGGCAGAAGCTTGATTAATATTGCCTTTATAGACTAAATGTATGTGTATTAACTCTTGATTGTTCTCACGTCATGCACTATGAAAACTTTCTTCTATGAACACGTCAGTCAGCAAGATCTAATTTTGATTTTACTCATGAAGTAGTTCAATCTTAAAATGAGAAAATGCCTAGAGCCTCTTACCTGAGAATCAAAATATATGTTGTGCCTATTAACATCAAATCTTGTTTGGGACTCCATCCTGCCTTCCTTGACTCATTTCTTGAGCCCGTCCCACATTTGGTTTCACTAGGTCGTTCTAAAAGTCCACAGGTGCAGAGAATACCCTCCCATTCAGTTCCAGGCCTTCCATGCCAAAAGATAAAGGCAAGTTCCCTCAACAGGCACTAAAGAATCTTTATAATCTGTTCCCTATTTATATCCTCAGACGTCGGCTCCAGTACTCCTCTTCCCATTCTCTGTTCCAAACTGGGCTATTCCTGTACCTGAACACATCATACCATGAACAGTTTTTAAATTTGTGACTCGTTTTTGTTCCTGCTTGGAAATACACCCCCATCTTCATCCTGTCTGTATTGATCCCAACTAAACCTTTCCTTCAGTTCCAAGATCAAACTATATTTCTTTAATGTGATCTTCAGACATGAATACTCAGTTTCTCTTGTATCAGTATATAAAAGGATAACTTTTTATGTCTAACTTATAAAATAAGGCAATTCACTCTCTAAGACCTGAAGGTTTAACTTACCGACCGTTGACATATTCTCACCTAAAACAAATTTTAGTTAGATATGATAAAGAGAAAGGCATATTAGACATGTTCCAAAGTTGCCAAACACTGAGCTTGCAAAAAACTAAATAAACAGCACAGTGACTTTTGAGCCTCTTTCAAAATTTAATGAAAATGTTTTGTGTTAGTCCAGTATAGACTAAGTGAAATTTTGGTATGACTGAAAAGAGCTAAATATTACATCATATAAGAAAGTAAATGATTCTTTCCTTCCTTTCTTCCTTTTTTTCCCTTTATTTCTGGAGTTTTAGTTTTGAACATTTGGAAGTCTATTGTATTTTATAGCACATAGCTATTTTTAGAGATTATCAAATTCTGGTTTTATTATATTATTTGATGTTTAACATACTGAAATTGTTTCAATTCTTTCTGAACACGGTCATGCACTGTTTTTACTCTTAAGCTGTGACAGTCAATCAGGAAACAAAAAGGATTGCTTTTTTGAGAAAGTCATCACCTGTCTAAAGAAACTTAGACCAAAATGTGTACAGTAAACTTAGAATGAAAGGTGGACATCCTTGCTTCCAGAAAGAGATACTGTTTAGAAGAAAGGATAAAACAAAGAGAAAAATAGATGCTTTTCTAGTATTTTGCCCTTGTCTTTTCTTGAGGGGGTAATCTAATGTTCATATATTTGCTTTAAATACTATGAAAACTCAGGACTTCAGAAATACCTTTAGATACATATTTAGAAATAGTTTTAGTGTAACAGAAGTCACATTACACATCTGAAATGAGAAAAAAAACTATATTGTCTGCACCACTATTTTTAATCTTTTGTTTGAAATATCAGGAAATATTTATTGGGCACTAGTGCTCACCTGAAAGTGGGTGGCATTTGCAGAGATACACAGAACAATGCAAGGCAGGCGCTGAATTTGTAAAGCTCACAGTCTGCCTAGGTGAAAGGGCGAAAGGCATCTGAACAGCCAATTCCTAACAAACACCATTTAGGTCTCTAAGAAGGTTGACAAAAACTGATAGAATTGTGGGACGAAAGGCAGAGAGGGAGTTTATTGGACCAGATGAAAGGAAGAGAGAGCAATAGTGCTGTCCTCTCACTACTTCCCCAGCTCCCTCAGAGCCCAGTGGGGCGCTGTGTGTAGAGGGAATGATTCGTAAATATTAGTGACTGATATTTGACTGAATTATTTATTATTTACTTTTCATTTAAAATCATATTTGTTATCTCCACTGACCAACATGAGAAGAGAAATTAGTAAAATTTACTGAACACTTTACATTTCCAATGATTTTGCATCAGGTATAATCACAGTGTATCAAGGGTAAGTCGCTTTAGTCATTCTAACTTTAGAAGCCCTTGAATGAGATTAGGAAGTGATCATCATTTACATTTATTATACTTTGCATGTAATGAGTTTTAGCTTTTAACTCTAATTTGTTTCTCATCGCATTCATCAAAGGAGAACTATTTAGAAACTAAAACATCTCTGTCAGTTAGAATTTTAATGAATTAAGATGAAATGAGACAGTGTTAATTGGCAGTTGTTGCTGCAGGGGAGGTTTCTAGATCTTGTAAGTGATACCAATTCATCCTTCTATCAGGGTTAATTTGTTTGATTTAATTCTAAGGATACACTGACTACTTCGCCACACTATTCATATTTATTTTCCAATTGGAGAGTGGTTTAGTTATGTGGGTCTTTCATGTAGATTCTCAATTCCATTTGTACTTGATTCAGTTTGATTGTTAATACATTTAAGAATCATTCATATTATTGACTCAAGATTAACACACACAAAATGTAGATGCATTACTTAGATTTTGTTTTAGTTGCAATGCCCCAAGTCTTCCATAACTAATCATTTTATCACCAGTATTTTACTTCCTATGTTCTTTTTTTTCCTCAGACATAAATGAATGTGAAGCTGAGCCATGCAAAAATGGTGGAATATGTACAGACCATGTTGCTAACTATTCCTGTGAGTGCCCAGGTGAATTCATGGGAAGAAACTGTCAATACAGTAAGTGTTCATGCATATGTAAATATAAAGTTTTAATTGCATATCCTGCATTTATTATGGACTCTGAGCTGACATCAATATAGTTTACTTTAAGAAATCATAATTTATTGAAATTGCACATTTAATATTTATTGTTTTAATGTTATTAATGTACATATATTCTCCAGGATACGCCTCAGTGCAAGATGGGCATGGGCGTGGTCACCTTGTGGTTAGAAAGTAGGACAACAGTTCCTCAGACCCAGAATACATCTTTCTCATGAATTCCATTTTGGGTTTTGAGTATGTGTGTGACCTAAATTTTCACCAGAGTGATTACTCTGGTTTATAAAACACATTCAGCGCACCACAGCCAGATAGCTTCTATCACAAGTGAAAGGTAGGGATAAAAGAGGATTCATGTCAAGTTGGCCAACACATTCATAGAAATTTTACACACACTTTCTCTTCTTAGAAACCTAAGACAGCCTTGAGATTATGGAGCAAATCTCCATAAGTTAGAACAGTAACTTACCTGAAGTGTTTACAGAAAAGCACAAAACACCCCTCCTTTCCCAGAATAAACAAACAAAATACTAGGAAAAGATAAGAACAGGTTACAGAACATAGGATGAGACCAGAAGGAGGCACAAATATATATTAATGAGAACAATAATATTATAGTTCAATAATTAAATACATATATACTTCATCTTGCTATTGCTTTGATGTATGTTATACTGTATAGGGATTCAGAAGACAAATGCAGATTAGAATTCAGATGCACAAACTAAAACACACAGGCTATATAGTTTGCCTGAGCTCTTACAGTTAGTGACAAAAGAAGGACTAGGAAGAATCTAGAATTAGGTCTTGTGATTCCAAGTTCAGAACATTTTCTTCTAAATTGGGATATCTCTTCATATGGAGTCTAACAAGATCAACACAAAAGCACCCTATACTTCCTCTCCTATACGCACCCACACCTGCACACACGTACACACAACCTCGTATACATTCCTTCCTCTTTAGCCATAGTGACATCTTCATTTCTCACTTTTCTCCTCTTCCTCCCTTTTGACAATGCTAATTTATACAATGAAAAGGGAAAAAATTTTATTAATGTGTTTGGTTTATGTATATAAATAAAATGATAGTCCAGGGATGCTCATGGCCTTAGTCCTGAAAAACTTATTTTTTTTAAATAATGAAATTCTGGATATCAAAGAAATACTTTGGATTGGGGAAATTTTTCTGAGCTAAAAATAATTGGAGAGAGACATTGGGCATTCACTCATGACAGGGCACATAGAAATGCCTGCAGGGAGTGCCAGCTCTAAGCTGACCAAGGTTAGGATCTTCAGAGTTTATACTATATAGATTATAACCAGTGTGCTGACTTCCACTCCTTAGTAAGATTGATTTTTCTGGGCTTTGTGTCATGTCCCACAGGTACTCCATTGGGTCAGCTTATCCCTGCAATAATGGTAGAGAGGCCATTCATTTTGGCAGATATTTCAGGAGGGCGAGGGAAGGAAGAATGATAGAGACTCGCTGCTGGGTGGGTCAGGAGACACCCATGCTGAAATGCCACTATCATTGTGTTCTAATCCAGCTGTCTTCAGCCTACTCTTGGGCTCCTGCGCTCATATTAGCTTCACTTGTCCCACTTTTTTCTTATTTCTACTGATGGGCTAATTAAGTTCTGGCACATTTTGAGCTGAAATCATTCTCAACAACCCTCCAAAATAATAAATAATAACAGATATTGCAAAGGACTACAATTGACTTGAACGCTAAAATATCTGTACAAAAATAGTATTCTATACAGCACAATAAACTGGGGAAATATTTACAATAATCATGAAAGCAAATATTACTTATCCTTAATTTATTATATCTCAGTTCAATAAAATTAAATACAACACATAAGAACAGGAAGAAAACGAGTCAAACCTTCTTACAAAGGAAGTGGTTTAATATTGAATATATATCATGTTATGGTTGTGTTTTCATTATTATCCTTCTAAATATTTTGATTTTTATTAAAAATAGCCTTAATATACGATACCTTTATGATCAGAAAACAGTAATTATATTTTAAATGACTATTTAATGAGAGCACTAGATATGTGATGAAAACCCTGCACTGACCGTGCATCTCCCTCTGCGCTTCTTCCTCTCACCTTTTATCTCTAGCCTCTGTCATTTCACAAGTACAAACTGGAAGATGAATGGCACAAACAAATGGCAATATAGATAAACAGAAAGGCGTGAAGTGCTAAAGAGGAACAGAGGTGGGCTGGCAAACCTTAGAACGAATATGGAAAAGGAAAGGGAGAGAGAAGGGAAGGGAGTGAGAGCTGTTAGACCAGGGCTCCATGCTAATTGTGAGGCTCCCTGGAAACTCCTGTGCACACACACGGACACACCCACGCATCCACACGTGCACACACACCCACAATCACTCCAAAAGGAATTTGTCTTATGGGGGAAAAAATGCAAGACAAAGGAAGGGACAAGCAGAGTTTTATACAGACATGAAAGTTCCCACTAGACGATTTTACTGAAGAGAAGTCCTTCCCACCTTTTGCCTGTGTTCCTTCCCCAGCCAGTTCTTAAATCAGCTGCTAAAGGGAACCTGTGAAAAGTCAAAGTGCATCACCTTGCAGATCAGAGTCTTCTACTGGCTCCTGACCTCAGACAGTGAAAATTCCTGTCCTGCTTCCTGAGGCCTGCAGGACCTGCCCGTACTTGCACCCTACTCACTCACCTCTCTCACCGCGTCTCCTAGGACTCTGACTTTCTCACGCGCTGCCTCTGGACCAGGACCAGCTAGTCCTGGTGCACACCTGGCACAGTCTTGTCCTAGAGCATTTCCTTTTCTGTCTCCTTTTTCCTACATTATTTGTTATGAATGCTCCCACACCTCCTTCGGGTCCCTGCGTGAAGTCATCTCCTCAGAGCGCTTTCCCTGACCTCTCCACCTCCCTTCCCTACCACAGCACTTCTAAACACATGCTCACCCCCTGCTCCGCTATAGTTTTTCTCCTTGATGTTAATCACCAACATGTATTTTTACTTTTAAATATTGTTTATTGACTAATTCTCCAATGGGGTATATACTCCATGAGGGAGAGGTTTTACTGTTCTAATCGCAACTGCCTAAATAGAACTGGAAAAGAGTAAGTGGCCAATACAATATTTGCTAAATGAACAAATGAACCTAGCACTCTGAGTTCTTTAGGTAGAGGGATGATATCTGATTCCTCAGTGTCTTCAACTATCATGAAGTTATTTTTCTCCCAACTCTCTGTTTTTAAGCAGTATTATAAAGTCGCTTTTGCCAGTATTATAAAATGTAATATGATATAGTAGTTGGCACTCATTAAGTGATATTGCAAATTGAATTGCTTTCCTTTGTCTTGATAAAACCTTTTTTAGTTTTATTTTGCAATGGGGTTTTTAAGGTGGATTTATAATAAGAGAATTAATCAGGGACCCTGTTTCTCTCTTTATGCTGATTTGGCATGCAGATATCTTGATAATTGATCTTAAATCATTTATTTATTTCTCATCCATATCAATTAACTAATCAACAGATATGAGAATGCAAAATGTTTATATTGAGGTACTACTTTAATAAGTGTTACATAAAAATCTATGTAAATTCTTTAGTTTAATGCATGGCTCTAATAAGTATAACACACTGTTTCTCTTCAGATTGTATAAATTTTTCACATTTTTTAAAATTAACATAGCTATTAAGCACTTTACCTTTATAAGAAATAAATTTATATCTAACCCCATCTATTATGACATGATGCCCAATTATGTGGTAATAATATTATGTAAATCACTTATTAAACATTTTCAATATATAATTATATCAAATATTAATAACAAATGTTTTAATACTTGGCAAAAATATATCTATAATTTTTACACTAATTATTTACTAATTATGTGTTTAGGTGGGTGAAGGCAATAATATTCTAATTTAAAGAATTTCAGTTTAGATTTCTAGATAAGGTTCATATACCTTATCGTTGACTCTGGCAGATCCCTGGTATTTTTGGTTTTATGTTTTGTTAATTTATTACAGGGGATTTGATTAAGTTTGATTATGTTTCATTTAAATTAAAGTTACTTATGATTGATATGTGCAAATCATTTAATCATTCCCATAGTATTTATTAAAGTATTGCACTAATTCTTCTAATTAAAACCTTAATTTGTATTTTCCTGTTGCTTTTAATGATACACACTTCAGTATTTAGATGGCCATTTTCATAAACAGCTTCAAAGAAAAATGATGATGAACTGGTATGGGAACCTTATAAAAACAGCTATGTTTTGCCGTGTACGTTTAACAGAGCATGATGTTTAAACTAAAGTGTGTGCAGTGGAAATTGACAGCATGTTCGTTAACTGATCTAAAAAAATAACTGAGACTGCTTTTATTCATTGGACTATGTGGCCCACAGTAGCCATCTACAGCTCCCTCTTGCGTGTTTAAATGAGACATGATTAAATTTCAGAAATGGCACTCAAATTAATTTCCATTGCTGACAGTATTTATGGAAATTAAGATAGTTATCAAGGGAGCTCTCATGCTGCATCATCTCTGAATTATTATGCTGGAGAGTATTAAGACTTGAATGATTTCAGAGGGTTTTAGTAAAAAATGAAAACTAAAGTCTTTAGTTGAGGATAAAGTGATGTTTCTAAATGTCAAAATTATCCAAGTTTTAAACAATTTAGTAAAATAACCTAGATAATTCTATATCCCTTTTCTTTAAGAATTATATCTATAAAGTCATAAGGACAAAAGACAATGATACCTGTGTATATTTTGAAAACTATAAATATTTTCCTATATTCATTTCTTGAGCAGCTATAGTTCTTTGAGCCTTCATTACAAGTAAGCTAGTATTTACAAGTACACAAACATATAAAATATGTGCTGTATAAACGTTCCTATGCATTTTTCTTTTGATATTAGTGTGCACTGCCAAGTT